CTTTGAAAATGGCCTTCCATATCCCCAGTGGTGGCCATAGATACTTCAAGTATTTTTAGCAAGATGTTGGAACCATGTTTTCACAAACTGTCATTACCATCTCATGGTCAATATTATTTAGTTAATAATATTATGATATAGTAGTAAGTTTGTTTTCTTATTCTCACACCCAAATTAGGCTGCCCCAAATAATAGATTACATGATTACCATGTGTATCAGTCAGGGGTTTCCAGAGAAATAGAACCATAGGAGATAGATAGATAGATAGATAGATAGATAGATAGATAGTTATTTTTTCTATATGTAGGATATATATCATCTGTATGGGGGGGGGAGAGATTTATTGTAAGGAATTTCCTTGCACGATAGTGGGGGCTGGCATATCTGAAATCTGTAGGATGGTTGGCAGGCTGGAGATTCTGGCAGGAGGGGCTGGTGCAGTCTTGCATCAGAAGGTAGTAGGCAAGCAGAATTCTTCCTTACATGAGGGACTTGTTTTTTCTCCTAAGATCTTGACCTGATGGATGAGACATACCCACAGGATGAAGGGTAATCTGCTTTATCAGAGTTTGCTTAATCGCATCTAAAAAATGTATTCATGGCAACATTTAGACTGGTGTTTGACCAAAATAATGGGCACTGTGGACTAGCCAAGTTGACACATAAAATACACCATCACGCCAGGAATTCCTAGTCCTTGAGCGAACATGAGATTCTTGCCTCATCTCACAATGGAGGAATACAAGTCCCACTTTGGAGATGTAAACCCAGAACATGGCCCCATATGTCTCTGTTAGGAGCTCTTCTCTACTCCTACAGGCTTCTCTTTGGCTATCATGAGTATTGATGGTAAAAAGGATTGCCCTATAATAATGCTCCTTGAATTTTCATGTGGATACCAATTATCAAAATAAGGATTCAGATTCAGAGGGTCTGGAGTGGGGCTCAGGATTATTCATTTCTAAGACACTAATTCTGCTGATATTCTGTGAACCACACTGCAAGTACTGAGACCCTATAGCTCAAGGAATCTATTGGAAGAACAAGACTGGTGGAAGATGGACTGAGTTTAATGACCTTTTCTCCAAAGGCCAGCCAGTCCATGGAGACCTCAGTCCATGGGAACCCCTAGATTTTAGAATCTTCTCCATAAAATGCCTCTTCCCAAGAAGATTGAGGGAATAATACCTGATTTTTCTATGGAACTAAGCTGTGGAGAAGTACACATCAGAAAGCACCGTAAACTGAAGATAGTGGATTCTCGTTCACAGATAGCTTCATTTGAGGCTAGAATGGACTGCGAAACCAGAAGGGATCTTTCTCCCACCAGACTTTTCCATCCTAATTTTGGTCCCTGTCAGAAGTGTCACATGCCTTGATCTCACTTTGGACTCTGCTACTTACTAGCCATGTGACCTTCAGACAGGGAAAAGAAACCAGCATCCTTCGAGCATGTCCTTATGCCAGGTACAATGCTGGGAAGTTTCACATTTTATCATCATGGCAACAATGCTGGGGAATAATTGGCATTATTTCATATGAGGACATGGAGGCTTAACAAATACAGTTAATAAAGGTTCAAAGCTGAGAATTAAAACCAGGGTTGTTTTGGACCAATGCCTACTGTGTTCCAGGACTCTGTTTCCCCATCTGTTATTAAGGCAGGGTAAGGGTTTCTGCCTGCCTCCCAACATGATGTGAAAAGCAGATGTGACGGTGGGTCTCAATCATTTGTATGCACTTCAGATGGTCACAGAAGTGTATTGTTTGCCGTATTTCAAGGGTTGTTATTTCAGGAGAAATGTTAGCCTCTTAGCAGTGATTTGAGAGATCAGATGATCAAGTTATTTTTGTGTTTTGGTTTTGTTTTGTTTTCTGTCTGGGACTGGCACACAGAGATGTGTAGAGCTACCAAAAGGCCTTGACTTGGCTACCTTGGGGGGAATAAATGATTCCAGATTCCATTGTTTCCAGCAGGGGCAACTCATAAAACCCTTATGCTCGTGTTTTCTGATCCTCAATTTTCAGATTAAGGAGAAGCATTCATATTGCACATATTGCACATAAACGTCTGCAGTATAAAAGAATAAAATCAATCTGTGGTAATAAAATGAAATGAATCACTATGATCCAAACAAGGCTTTATTTGAACCCAAATGGCTGAATACGGTAATAGATATCTGGACTGATCGATGGCGACTGACTTTGTTTCTGCAGCCATGGACTGGGATCCTTATCTCTGAGTCAGAGTAGAGAGATGTTACATTCTCTTCTAGGCTACTGGCTTGAGTGGGCACTGGTCCATTCCCAGTGGCCCCTGGTCAGGAAAGGATGAGACGGTCGAGGGCCATGGCCTCCAGCCATCTGTGGTTTCCAGATCATTCCCAGGTAACTGGCTTTTCTCTCCACCTAGCTTGCCGATGATCAGGGCCTCGTCCTGATGACCACGGTCGCCATGCCTGTGTTTAGTAAGCAGAACGAAACCGTGAGTACAGCGGCTGTGCTCCTGCTTGATGCTAAGAGGGTTGCTATCTCAGATACCCTCTGACTCAAGCCCTGGTGACCTTTCTTTATTTGTGTTAAGGATAGGGGATATATCATTTGTCCTCACTTTTAATCAAGAATAGATGAGAGGAATTCTGGCAGGTGTCATATTATGGGATGCAACACTTTTCCCAAAGTTAAGTGAACAATGACCAGAGGAATGAAAAACCCGGAGAGAATCGAATGACCCCTCCCCGATTTATAGTGACCAGCCTTGTGTTGGTTTCCTTGGGCTGTGGTAACAGAGGGCCACAAACGGGTGGCTTATAACAATAGAAATTTATTCTCATCATTCTGGATTCTAGAAGCCCCAAATCAAGGCGTCGCTAGGACAACGTTTCCTTGGAAGGCTCTAAAGGAAGATCCTTCCAGCGCCTGGATATTCCTTTGTTTGTGGAAGCTCTGCCTACATCTCCATGTGACCTCCTCCTCTCGTGGGTCTCTCCGTCCTCTTATAAGGACACCAGTCACTGGATACAGGGCTCATCCTAAATCCAGGATGATTTCACCTCAGAGCAATGACACCCTATTTCTAGAAAGGGTCAAATTCTGAGGTTCCAGGTGGACTTGAACTGGGGGGAAAGAATAGACAGTACCAATGTGTCTCTTCTTCCAGAAGGTCTTTCTGACCTGGACAGTTTCAATGCATCACACTGACTTTGGAAACGAGGACCCGTCCTGGGGGCCTGTTCATTCACCTTGGTCCTTGGTGCCAATACACAGCTACAAATGTGAGGGTTATTATCTCTTTCCTCTGGGCACCAGATGGCAGTGTAAATTGAGAAAGCGGTTAACATGCTAAGTCTTTCCTGTAGAAAGCTCCCCTAAAATAAACTGGTTAATGGTCACAGTCCTTAGTTGCTGAAACTTTTGTGCTACTTCACATTAACTTTGAATTTTCAGGAGTGAGAAGAGATGGCTATTAGGGCATCCTGGTATAGGCATGTATTGAGAAGTATGGTAATGAGTGTTTGGCCTGAGAAGCTACCATTCTTGTCTAGCAATATGGAGGCGGGGGGCGGGTAGAAGAGGGGCCTTGTAGAGATCTGGGTTAATCCTTGATTTCTAGAAGCTTACAGAAGGTACTAGACAGTGATCTATGGTGTGTGGCTTCTCACTAGGTTCTATTCCTTCTACCAAAGTAACTTACTATTGTTGTTATTGCTTAATGTTTGCTTTCCAACAGAGATCAAAGGGCATTCTTCTGGGTGTGGTTGGCACAGATGTCCCAGTGAAAGAGCTTCTGAAGACCATCCCCAAATACAAGGTAATGCATCACCTAATTCATAGTCAAGGGCCAAGTGTCCAAGATAATTTCACAACCTGCCATAGTAGTAATGAAACATGAAATAAGAGGCCCCTCTACTCTCTTTCTGGTAGGCTTTTTTTTTTTTTTTTTTTTTTTTTTTTTTTGTAAGAACAGTAACAGTTCACGCATATCGGATTAGGTCTACACATGCTACCCAGGTTTGTGTGGATCCATGGAAGTCTATATGTTTATATGGGTCTACACGGGTCCTACACCTCTGATGGTCCTCTAAACCAGTTCTAACTCACCCTAATCTGAGACCCCTCTAAAATATGTTACTTCTTAGCAGGAACCCAATGGGGCACAAAGGAAAATGGTCTCTGATGCTTTTGCGTACGCATACCCTCTATCCTGGAAGGCGATGGTGTACATGCAAATTAATGCTCTTAATGCTAACTTAAAATCCATGGCACTAAGAAAATTATAAGTTTCTTTTTCTTGACTCTGGGGGTAACTAAGGGAGTGGAGTAGGTAATTTTGGAGCAAAGAGGACACAGCAAACCTTGGTGAGCCACTGCTTTGGGAGTGCAGACCAGCATAAGAGCATTGTAAGGCATGGGCAGCGGAGAAGGAGCTCAGATGGAAGGGACTCAGGATTGGGGTGGAAATGCCAGAACTCCACTCCACATGAGAGGCCAGCCCTGCATTGGGATGAGGGTGTGGGCCATGCTTGCCCCTTTGTCCGGCCCACACTGCACTTCCCAGCACTCTATTACAGGCACTATTTCTTCAGTTTACTTAGTGCTTCTACATTTGGGAACAGAGGGCCTCTCATGGGCCGTCACAGTGCCACCCTCAGCTAGACCTACCCCTGTCTCCATGACAGGCCTCCCAGCTCCATCCAGAGTGACCTCACAGCCATCTGCAAACCAGAGTCTGCTCTGTCTGGGGCAGGCCAGCACGGCACAAGCACCCACCCATAGCTGGTGGACGGCACTGCCACCTGGGCTGATTACAGAGGGCGGGCAGTCACCAAGAAGGTGACTAGTGGCAGTAGCCATCTCGGGGTCCCTGAGGATGACACCAACTGTTGCTTATGTTCCCTGGCTGCTCCAGGTATATTGCTGTGGTTAAATCAGCACGTTAGTGAAATCAGAGCAATAGACCTACCAGGGGCCTGGTTTCCAATACAACCATGCTCCACACCCCACTTCCTGTACAACAGTGTTTTCCTAATTCAGCCTTTGCTTGCCACTATCAAGTGGCATTGCCCTGTCCTTAAACCTCCTGCACGGGTACTGAGCAACACGGGTACTTTTTCATTAAGTGGACTTGCTGATTTTCTTAATGAGTTCCTCTGACCCCAGCCTGAACAGTCACGTGTGAAGTCGTAAGTTGAGATGTGATCATTATATTTTTCTGATACACAGGTGAGCCAGGGACTGACATGACCTTTGAAAAAGATGGCCCAGACAGTCCTTGAACCTCATATAGAAAATTCTCACTTGTTCTCTGGCGGCAGTTCTATAGAGAAGCAAATGTAAAGGTGCTGAGACGAAAGTCCCCTCAAGCCCCACCACAGCCATGCGTTTGGAACTGCCCAAGAGCTATCTCAGTGTGTGCACAGGCGTGGGAGTGCAGGAGGGGACAGAACGGCCCCACTCCCAGTCCTGAGAGGCGTCCCTTGGACCGACACGGTTCCCCTAACTGCACGAGGATGGAAACCACACCCGTCCCCTCTTCCCCAGCACCAAGCAGACTGGCTTGCCTGTCTCTACTTTGGCCCACTCGTAGATTGACAAGAGCTCCCTTTGCCCCAGTATGGGGGAGGCAAGCTCCTTTGGGCCAGGAGTCTGAGATTGCTAACTGGCTAACAGTCCCCCTTCCTTACCACCTTCTTCTGACACGCTGAGCTTCTCACTAGGGTCCATTCCTAGCCTAGCCACACTTGTGAGGGGCCCAGAGATCTTCTTGGACCTCAGTAGGAGGAAGGCAGTGGTTAGTGCTCTGGAGACAGATACACTGGGGTCCCAGCACCATCCCTGAGGAGTTCTGGGTGGACATGTCTCTCAAATCCTTAGTTCTTCTGTCCAGTGATAACAATACAACCTGTTCATAGACTTGCGTGAAGCATTGACCATTATTGTTAACTAGGAACAATGGTAACACAGTGATCAAGGTGATGGGAATGACTCCTGGCCTCCTGGCCCTGTTTCATGTGGGATGCTGCCAGCATAGTGCTGTTCATATCTTTCCCGTGCCAGGTTCAGGCAACTATGGGCTTCACATCCATTGGACCTTTGCTAAAATGGAATGCCAACAAAACGATGGTTTAACTGAATGACGAGCTGAGCATACTCTGGGATCCTCTGCCACTTTTAACAGTGGGGTTTTCCAAGAATTTTAAAAGACCTGAGGAAAAGTTTATGATACGAGGTCATGTGCTGTAGGCAGTTGACAACAAGGACAGCCTTACCTTTTGACAGAGGGTCAGGATAAGAGCAAGCCAATGGCTCAGCCAGTCACCAGGCATCGCAGTAAACTCTTGTCCCAGAAAATCAGCTGAGCAGATGACTGCAGCCAAAATGATCATGTCATCCCTCAGAGGGTTGGATGCAAAGTGAGATATGCATAAAATGGCTGTTTAAAACACCATTTGTGGTACCAGGCAGGGAGTCTCATGGTATAATATTAGCAGATAACATTTGCCAAGTACTCAGCACTGTCCAAAGTGCATTACCCACATCGTGACACCAAATGCCCCTCAGATGAGTGCAGTGCTGTTGTATCCATTCTTCTCATAAGGAAACTCGGGTTCATAGGGCTTCTGTTCACAGAGCTCGGGCCACCTGAGCAGGAAGTGGTGAATGTGATTTGAACCAGGTCTGTGTCACTCCTAGACCCATGCGCTTCGGGCAGATCTAAGCCATTCATGTAATACTTCGTGATTTGTTGCCTTGTTCATATACCATCTACACCATTATTTACATAACAGTCCATTTGTACATCAACTCAAAACTTTCCTCGCTTAAGTAAATTGTAAAGGGAAATACCATTTGCAAAGAACAAAGTGTCATTGGCCAATATTAAAGAATTGTAAAAAAAAGAAAATAGGGGCGCCTGGGTGGCTCAATCGGTTGAGTGTCTGACTTTGGCTCAGGTCATGATCTCATGGTTCTTGGGCTCGAGCCCCACATTGGGCTCTGTGCTGACAGCTCAGAGCCTGGAACCTCCTTCGGATTCTGTGTCTCCTCTCTCTACCCCTCCTCTGCCTGTGCTCTGTCTCTCTCTGTCCCTCAAAAATGAATAAATGTTATAAAAATTTTTTAATTAAAAAATAGTATTAAATGATTGCTTGATAATATAGGGTTCTGAACTTGAGATCTGTTCTTTCTCTTTTAAGATAGTATGAAAGGCAAGTGTTAAAGATATACTAAGTGGCAACTCTCTTTGATAAATTGGAATGATGGAAGAAATTTTGAAAGGGCTGGCTCTCACTAGTGATCCTGGCCTAGTAAGTTCCATACCAGCTCTACATGCCACATAAAATAAATAACCCACACTCTGGGTTTTGTTTTGTTTTTAAGAAAGCAAAGTCGTGCATGGGAAGATGACAGGCAGCTGAGGAGTGAGGACCATGGGTATTGTTCAGCCTGGGACGATGGATGCCCCTGCCTCACTCCTGCCTTCTGGGTTCCTCTCAGCATGGACACCAGCACCATGGCCACCATGCATAAGCCCATGTCCCGTGCTCCCCCAGACTGGAGGGTCTGACTCTTTCCAGCACTTTCTGTCTTGTCCTTGGCACCTGCTCCATTCCTAGAAGAGGAAACTTCTTTGAACAAGGAAGTCATGTCTGTTCCCATATGCTGATGCCATTTAGCTCATAAAATTAGAAAGTCACCTTCATAACAAGAGGAAATGAACTCTGAGCTAAAATCAGGTGTTCAGGCTCACAAAAGGGGGCCTCCTTAGCAAAAGAACACTCCTGCTTGGCTTTACTGAGATGACAAAGGCCCTTTGTCCTCCTGCCACCCTGGGCCACTGATGACCAGCTTCATCCACCACCAAAGTTTTTATGGTTGGAGTTAGGTTTCCAGAGGCATGATAGGACGGCTGGTTGATCAAAACCCACATAATCAAGTGTTGAAAACTGTGTAGCTCCCCCAGAGACAGAAAGCCACAGGAATGAGGGAGGGATTTGAGGCGCTGAAAGATAGTGGACCTTACTTTTATTGAAACCCCAAAACCCAGATGCCCAGAATTTATGGCTCAGTGTTTAAGGAAGGGCATCCCACCTTTACAGAATGTTTGCAAACATTTCTTACACCTCTTTTTTTTTATTTTTTAAGGTTTATGTATTTACTTTGAGACAGACAGAAAAAGCACGAGTGGGAGAGGGGCAGAGAAAGGGACGGAGAGAGGATCCCAAGCAGGCTTCATGCTGCCAGTGCAGAGCCTGACACAGCGCTCAAACTCACAAAACCGCGAGATCGTGACCTGAGCCGAAGTCAGATGCTTAACTGACTAAACCACCCAGGTGCCCCCTGACATCTCTTATTTTCATATGAGAAGATGTAGAAATTCAAGTACAGGGCCACTGCTTGATAGATGCCCAACAATCAAGACAGTATGAACATAAGAGGTAATAATGATGACCCCGTGCCTCAATTTCTCCTCACAGTTTCCTCTACCAGGCAATGTGCTGAGCTCTTTATAGCATCATCTCCCTTCTAATAGGTAGACCTTGCCATTACCCCCCTTTTATAGCTAAAGAAACTGAGGCACATAAAGCTTAAGTAGCTTGCCAAGTCTCACAGCTAGCAAGCCGTGATTTTAGCCACATTGCCCTAAAACCATTAGGAACAATAAAGGGCAGTAATAATAGCAGTAGTTGAAATGATAGTTAAAATACTAAAAATAATATAATAGTTGGAATAAAATAAGACAATAAAACATTCATTGAGCCTTTTACTGTGTGTTTGGTATGGTAAAAGGGCTTTATATGCACTATTCCCATTGAATCCTTACTATCGTTCCCTAAAGTGGGTACCACTTGGCCCCATTGTTAGTTGAGGATACTTACAATAATTTTCTCAACATAACTCAGCTAATTAAAGATAAATGAAATGAAATAGAACAATAAATTAGAGGAAGATCAGCTACAGAACATTAACCACAGGGCCTGAAATACAGGTACTTCTATTTCACTCCTATTTCCCAGCCTGACCCCTGGGAACGGGAGACACAGGTACGACATGCCTTAACATAGGTTGTCCCTTCTCTGGTTCCCACAAAGAGCCTTGGGAAAAGGAGGTACGTCAGCCAGGGACAGCCACAGCCGAACAGGCTTCTCTCATCCAAGAGAGGAGAGCTCCAGGGAGCAGAGTGTGGCTCACACCTTTTCCTCCTGATTAACACCTTGTAAAGATGAGTCAGCTCTTGGCTCTTGGGGTTTTCCCAGAAGATAGAATTCTTTCTTTTCCCTTAGCTTCATAGATTTTCCCACAAGCAATCAGACTTCCTGTAATTTTTATTAAGAATTCCAGACACCCCAGCAATAACTTCCAGACACCACAGCCTCTGTTAACATAATGAGCCATTTTATAATTGGGTTCACTTCATTAGCCCAAAGTCTGTGCACTTGGAAGGGAAGCACCTCGCTCCCTGGGGTGCTGAACCACGAGGCTCCTGGCCTCCAGGAGAGCATGTTTCAGGACGAGGGCCCTTTGGCAGCCCCACGTACTGGAAGGCCTTGTGTCTGATTCGTTCCTACTACTCTCTGGGACTGCACATGAGAACGGACAGGAAGACTAGTTCTATTTCAGAGGAGACAAAAACTAGAGATTTCATCGGGATACTGATGCGTGGCCAGCAACAAAGCTTGGACATTGTCTTAACTATAAGCTTTTGGTTTTCTGAGGAGTTTATCCACAGAATGTGTTTTGAGGCTTACCTAGGATTTCTTTTCTTACATCTCCATTAGGTTATAGCCACATGCCACCCACCTGAGAAGGATTTTCACCAGATAGTTTCTGAATGTCAGGAAGACTTTCTCAGGTACAGCCTTGCAAAGGACTGAACTGCACCTGCCATGGCACATCAGCTTCCCCTTTTCGGCTCATTTTTATTATCTACTTTAGTTCAAACTTTAAAGATGAACTAGACGTTTCGGTAAAGCGCTAAATGTCTTAAATACATGTGAACCTCAACTCGAGCACCTGCCATGTGCCAGATGTTATGCTAGGGGCTGTAGAAGTCCAGGATGAGTGAGATGGTCCATCCCCACAAAGGGCCCATCATAATGGGGGTCGGGGGACTGCCTTTAGAACAAGGCAGAGGAGAGAAAGAACCAGCTAGGGGCTGAGAGGCAGAAAAAGCTGGTGTCCCATATTCATGCATTAGGATGAAGGGAGTAATGGGAAGATTCTCAGGGTTTATGGAAACATGGTATGGAAAGGAGGGTACAATGGGGAGAGTCAGGAGAGACTTCTTATAGGACATGATCCTGATGCTGGGCTTACAGCGTGGGTGAGCATTAGCTGGGGGAGATGGGAAGGACAGGTGCTCTGGACAGCTGGCATGTACGAGCAAAGGTGTGGGTGGAAGAGAAAACTGTCAGTGCCATGCGCCCTAAGAGGCAATGAGTAGAAGGAGGTAAAGATGGGTGCTTAGGTAGGGGCCCAGCCCCAAGAGGTCCTTAGTGGGGTTTACACAGGGGAGCTACAGGGTCGGCGTTACTTCTGACTTTGAGCAGTCTGGAGCATGGCTTTGTTGGGGCCTCTGTTTGAGGCAGGAAGAACAGTTAGGACCATTGTGGAAGTCTGTCACATTAAACCTACATGGATGGTGGGGTAGGGAAGCAGCCCTGAATATGAGTAATTTCTACAAGAAAAATTAGTGATTACTTGGATCAAGAAGTTGGGGATGAAAGAAATAAAGAAGTCTAAGGCTGATGCTCCAGTTTCTAACTTAGGAGTCCAGGTGGATGGGTGGTGCCCCCACAGAGAGGAGCAGAAAAGAACACCGTGTTGGGCTGGGTGACTCTGAGGTACTTGGGGGATGTCCAGGTAGAGATGCCCAACACACAGTTGGACACTTGGATCTGCCAGTGGGGAGAGAGCTAAAGCAGACAAGGGGCCCTGGGGTTGGAAACTTGTGGCGAAAAGAGTGCTTGAGGGTGGACAGAGGATGAGGATCCTATGAAAAGGAGGATAGCTGGGTATATGGGGCGAGGAATACAGAGTGTCGGGAGGGAGTGTGGTCAGGTCCTACAACTGGGAAGATTCAAGAGAGCTTTCTCTAGGGCATGGCCAGCAGTCGGGAGGCCACTGGCTACGGTAGAGAAGGGAGTTCTGTTCTGGTGGCATCTCGGTGGGAGGCATGGGCACCGCAAAGGCAGATTCCGGTAAGTGGGCACCCACGGGCAAGGAGGAGGCAGAGAGAGCAGCTGGTTGATGGGGGAGGGCCCTGGGTGAGAAGGTCGGCTCTGTGTGATCTGTGCTCCAGTCAGTTCCCTTCATTGTTTCCTGCTTTCTCCTTTTCCTCTTTCTCCTTTCCCTGCTCCTCATCCCTCCATCCCAACCACCAGTTTGGCCACATGGTTTGACCTTGGCCGTCATGGAACCTGTATTCAGGTAGGGAGGCAGGCGTTAAATAATCAAAGGTCTTGCTTGACGGGTGTCTTGATTCCTTACGATCAGCCTCACAAATAATTATTGTAATTTTGATTAATACTATCCGAGAAAAGTAAAGAGCGTTAAGAGAGCACATACAAGGAGTTCTACCTTCTTCTGAGTATCACCTCTTACAAGCAAACCGAGAACTAAAGTAATGTACGTTAGAAGGCACTGAATGTATTAGTGGACTATAAGATACCACTTGTTTGGTCGAATTTTGAATTTGAATTTCCCATCAAATACCACTTTTGCCTTTAAATGGAAAAAGTCAAACTCTCTGAGTCCTTTTTGACCCCTTCAGTCTGTATTACACTGAGACATAATAATGGTAATTAATGCAGTGTTGACTGTGTCTGACATTTTTCCAAGAGACAAGATGAAAGGGACAATATACATCTCAAAGGGTAGGAAATCTCTGGTTTATCTTTCACAGCATAATGAAATATACTTTATCATTAAAGTCTTGTAGAATCTTATTAAGACTTGCTGTGCAAGGTAACTCCAGGAGAAAATGTCTGTTGCCCTTGACTACCACGTGCATATTTGCTTTATGTAATGCAAGGGAAACTTTTAATTGTCGGTGTTAAATTCTCTGAAGTTAATTCCACATCACCTTGACGTTAAGCTAACAAGCAGACAGGGTCATTCCTGGTTTGTAAACTGTGTTGTCTGGATCGTTTAATAGTATCATATTCAAGAATGTGAGCGGCAGAGAATTTGAAAGAAAGGTAACAATGAGTGCTCAGAACTATGAAATAACTTGTTGGAAAAAAAAAATAGAGGATGTTTTTTCCTCTCTCCTTTCACTGCTCTGGCAAAAGTGGGCTACGTTTTCTTTCTTCAGAGAGAGAGATCAGTATGGGTTTTATGCCAGGGGCCATTTTAATACATGAATGATTTGTAGGTAAATTTATTGTAGCCAATGGGTGCAGTCAACTGTGTAATAGAAATATTGTCAAAAAGCCGGGATTATTATTTAAATAAGTGCAGTGTTAAATTTGATTACATACTCTTTAAAGCTAATAAAACATTTCATTGCTCTCAAACTATTTCTCATAGTCCCATTTGGTCAGAAAACATAAATTAAGTGAGGCTCTGCATAGAAAATTACCCAGGCTTTGTGTCGATGGAAGCATGCATGGAAAAGCTTGGCAGCGTCGAAACTTAAAGACGAAAGGATGTAAAAGGAGTTGGCAGGCTCCTGGATAGGCTGGTGGGGACACTTTCTCCCTGAAGATTTATGGAAGAGGACTCCCTCGGGGCATGCTTGAGGTGGCCCCATGGGTGTTGACTTGTAGCAAGTCGAGATGTGCATCAGATGGGGCCTCCTCTTTCCTTTCCTTATCAAGAGGCGGAAGACACCCAGGCTGATAAAACTCTGTTTGCTTCGACAGAGGGTCCTACCAGAAACGTCAGCTACTTTCTGTACAAAAAAAAAGGAGTTATTTTTGTTTTAAATAAATCAAAGTAAGGCCTTTGGATGCCAACATGAGGATATGACATTTTAAATTGTGCTATTTGCTGAGCTTATCCTGTGACAGGTCTTCATTTCTACCAAATGTCAAGGATCAGCGCCTTGCATTCATTTTAATGAAATATTGTGCTGATAAGGGTTATGAATGCCAAGTTTAAGCTGTAAATTACTAAATGCCGGGCTGCTTTATGCTTTGTGAATTCACCAGGGAGCCAGCTAATGAAGGTTTCTTTCTCACTTCTTACAGTTAGGGATTCACGGTTATGCCTTTGCGATCACAAATAATGGATATATCCTGACGCATCCAGAACTCAGACCACTGGTAAGAGAAGTACCTATTTCTGTGTTTCTCCTCTTATGATTTTAAAAGATTTTCTTCAGTTCTGCAGTGATGACACTTTGCAGTGGTGTTTACCTTAAAAGTTCAATTTATAGCATGGTCTCCTAAAGGTTGTTTTAATAGGTTATAACTAGTTTTTTTTGACGCATAATACATTAGTAATGTAGGATAAATATATTTATGATCATTCTTTTATATATAAATAAATAAATAAATAAATAAATAAATGCATTTATTTATTTATTTCACACCTGCCAACACATGGAAAAAGTTTTAACCCTGGACAGCCCAAACCCCATCATAATGGATCCCTTTATATAACAAATGTTCCCTCTCACTCCAACCAGATGCACTTACTGCACGTTACATTGGACACAACAAATTAGACCCAGGATCCCTAGAAATTCATTACAGTGGGATTTGCCCCCAAATCACATGGCCTAAGCTCAGTGCCTCCTGTGTTGAAGGTATTCAACAACACCTTTTTTGTTTAATTGGAGCAGTTGAGATTTTCTCCCATTCCCCGCCTAAGCCATATCCAGTAGCATTGTTTGGTGACCTGATGTGTGAACCGTTTGCTTTCTGAAGTGAGTGAGGTCTGACCTCATCCAGCACAGCCCATGGTGTCGTTGTCCACCCTAATCCCCAGGGAGAGGCTGCCTGGAGCATTGTGTTGAGGAGGAGTCCGAAGGGCAGCCAGGCTCATCTGGTGGGAGGCCCCAGTCCATTGGCAGTAGCCCCTGTGGACTCTGGAGGGGCAGTGGCAAAGAGTGTGTTCGTTGTCCCTGGACCAGATGCAACGTGATGAAAGGGCAACCCTTTGGGTTTGAGTGTATTTAGCTAATTTTACAAAAGATGTAAAATCATAAAAGGCAATATTGTAAACTCTGCTTTTGAAAGATAAGAAGGTGTAGGTGGTTTTCTCCAGCAACACACACATGCATTTGCTCGCACCCAGCCACTGTACACGTCCTTCTTTTCTTTCATCGTGCTCAGCAGATAGCGGCACTGCCTGCCATGCAAATGTTTGTCAGTGCAGCATCACAGGGATCGGTTTGTTTCTCGCGTGGATCATTGTCTGGAAAGAGCTCATATTTGAACGGCATCATCATCCAACTTTGCTCTAATCTCCCTGGTATTAATGGAGTTCTGGCCATATCATGTGGATCCCATATGCATGCTTTAAGATGGGATTTATGGTAATAAGTTCAGTAATTAAATATGATTTCAACAAACTTTTTATCAGAAAAGGATTAACTGGTCAGCTAATTCCAAATGGAACTCAGAATTACTGAAAAGTCTGATTGGGAAACTTACTAATTTAAGGATATTTAAAATATAGCTAAGTCTAAAATGCTTTGCCCGTTACCCATTTCCAAGCCACTCAGGGCTGTCTGTTGGGGTGGTAGGAGTTACGTGTTTGTGGTTGAGTATGGGCTCCTCGTGCTTATTTATTCCAATTGGAGTGGGGCAGAGTCAATAAAACAATCAAACCTGGATCCTCTGCCAGTGAATGAATTGGCTTCCTATTTATCAGCTTTCTAAAAAGGGATGAAATGGAACCAGACGTCAGAAGTCACCAAGGTAACTTCTCTCTCTCTGCAGCAATGGCAATGAGCAGCTCCCGTAAGCACAGTTGACTCACAATGCCTTCCTGGTCTTTTATATCCCCTGGTCATGCAGCAAACAGTTTGCCTGCAAATAGTGCATCTGATGCACTTTCCAGAGCTGTGGCCACTGAGAAGGCAGCCAAAACTCTCTTAGAAACGCAGGGCAACCAGTCAGCACTGATCAGCCCGTGACAGTGCAAATGCTCACAGATACAAATCATTTCTGTTCTTGTCACTGCTGAGACACTGTATTGAATGGTTTCACCAGAAGTGATAGCCAAGGTCAAGTTCCCATAAGCAGGATGGCCCAAGCAAATGCCCCAGCATCTCACTTGTGAAAATCCAAACCAGATGAATGGTTTTGCAACTGATCCATGATGAGAACATAAGGAATGGCCAAGCCATTTATCTATCTCTGACCCTGAGGCCCTGGGATACTTAGAAGAGGTTTGGAGTAATGCCAGCCGTTGAGGATTATCTGAACTCATCCATCTGAATGTGATCGATTAGTGGATGTTGACTCTGCCTCGAGTTTTGCATTTTCTTCCTGGGCAAAAGACGGCAGTGAAGTGGGAGGAACTCAAATTTAGCAACTCTCAGGTTCCCCTTGACTCTTGTCCTGCTACATCCTAGCTGTGTGTTTTGGACTAAGTCACACAGCCTCTCTGAGCTTCATCTTCTCTTGTAATCCTGCCATAACCATAATGTATGTATCACAGCTTTGTTGTCAGAGTAAATGGGATAATGCATGCAAAAGCCTTGGGTGACAAAGCTGGCCCTGGGACATGGTGGGGACAGTGATGGTTATACCCACATCCTATTTATATTATATGGTCTCTATCGATCTGTGCTCAGCTCCTAGAAAGATTGGGAGAATGCGGTGGTGGTGGATGCTTAGGAGGATCTAAAGGACCCTTTTTGATTATTCAGTTGTTTCAGACTGTCATGAGAAACATTGGCGAGGGATGGCACGCGCGCGCACACACACACACACACACACACACACACACACACACACACACACACACACACACACACACACACACACACACACACACACACACTCTGTTTTCAAGGCCAGCTCCGGAAGGCAGGTAGACAACAATCTTACTATGAGGTTCTCTGTGAGCCCTACCAGGTGAGGAGACTAAAGTTCGTGGTTGTTGTTTGTTTTTAAAGTAGCAGTAAAAATAATACCAGGAGCTGTGGTAAGTGCAGAATGAGAGCTAAGCTAGCTGGGCATCCATCTGCATGGATGGGATGCCACTGGCTCTGGCATGAACAAGTGACCTGTCCGTCTCAGTTTTGTTTACCCCAACAAAGGAAGCAGAAAGCTTTCTCCCACCTTCTCCCTAAGCACCAGCCCACTCAGCACAAAGTAGGGACTCTGGACAGAGCCACTGTTCGTTGCCACTTATTTTGGGTCCTTCTGAAAAACGTAACTTGTGAGCTTGCCTTGGAAACCTGCTATCTGCACCAGGCCATACATCTGCCCTGCTCAGACTGCTCCCGCATGGCCAAGGACAGCCAGCTGCCAGCAGCCACCCTGGCTAGCTGGGGCAGGGAACAGACTCGTCTCTCCCCAGCCCAGCCACATAATCGAATCCTTATTCATTCTCCGTGATTCTGGCCAAGGCTGCCAGATTAGCACGGTGGGTGTGAGCGTGGGGTTGTGGCCAGCACAGGAGGATGGCGCAAGCTCACTTAAAATAACTCCGATTCCCTCTCCATCTGCCACGGGGGCTGTTTCTGCCCCTGTAGCCAGAGGAAAGAAGTGGGTTTCTCTGAAGCACAATACCAATATTTTTCTAATTTGTCCAATAAAATCTTCCCCTTGAACTTAATGCTCGGCTTGATTTTATCCAGTATTTTCTTTAATCTTGTGTGAGTTGGGTGTGAATCATGAAGCGTCTCCAAAAACAGCTCAGATATAGGAGCCTTCACTCAGCAGACTTGCTTTGGTTTAATTGGCAAAACTGCTAAAATAATACTTTCCTGTTGATAACTGGGCTCTCCCTGGTCTTTCTCCAAGTGTTTCTCAGCCACTCTAACCTTGCTACCACCTTGTGATTTCTGATAGCCTGGCATTCACGCAACAGACGTTACCTGCTGCCAGGTGTGCTGGGTCCCGTGTGGCAGTGGGGGCTGCTGTGTCTGTCTTCAGGTCCCTCTGGGTGGGGAGTGGGCCAACACCACAGCAAGACGGACTCAAGTTAGACCTTGGGGAATGCTGTTTGAGTAGTTCTTAGACATCTGGAAGTTTTTTTCTGGATCTTTACCACTCTTTAACATTCAGGTTAAAAATATTTTCAAAGCAGAGTTGCTGTTAGATTTAGTTTTCTTGGGGCACCTGGGTGGGCTCAAATCGGTTGAGCGTCTGACTTCGGCGCAGGTCATGATCTCATGGTTTGTGGGTTTATGCCCCTTGTTGGGCTCTGTGCTAACAGCTCAGAGCCTGGAGCCTGCTTCATATTCTGTGTCTCCCTCTCCCTCTGCCCCTCTCCTGCTCTCTCTCTCTCTCTCCGTCTCTCTCTTTCAAAAATAAATAAACATTAGATTTAGTTTTCTTGTGCTTTATTTTCCAAATATTTGTGGATTTTTTTAAATGTGGAACCCTGACTATATCTCTTTTTCTCTTGCCCAACAGGGCATTGAGGGGAATAAATAAAATTGAGAAGGTGCCGCCTTTGACATGACCTGATTTTTGTTGAGATTTTAGCGATCCATCTGCCCCTACATTTTAGACGAAAGGGTCAACTGAGTTGATTTCCTTCCCCAAGGAGGCCTGGAATGTGGACCTGGTCAAACCACCAAAAGAACACAAATAAGGCTCCTTTCCAGCAGCCACAGCACAGGCAGGGCTCCACAGAGAAGCCTGGGGCACACAAAATTTAGGACTCCTTTCCACGGAGACCATGTTGACATCTGCCAAAAGCTGTTTGCTCTGGGTCTGTGAGCCCAGGAGAAGGGGAAGGATGCTAGAGCGTTTCTATTCTGTAAGAAAATTTGCCAGTCGCGTCAGCCACTGGGTGTTGTGGTGGGTGGGACGGGAGGTGGGAATGACGGAGAGAAACCCTCAGCCGTTCCTTCGGTGTTTGCAGGCATCCACTAAGTTCTAGGCCCGAGCAAGCTGCTTGGGGTGGTTACAAAGACATGTCCCGCCTCCGGAAACTCAAAAATCTAAAAGGATGGATAAGATTGTATACTCTGGGTGGGTGAGTAACTATAGACACTCCTAGGAAAAAGTGCATTCTTGTGTGTTTGTTATCGTTGTTGTTGGGTTTTAGTGGGTTTTTCTAACATTCGTTGATGTCTATTATTGTTCTAGTAAGTGTTCTATATGTGTTAAAGCTTTCAATCATTAATTAATTT